GGGGAACCCCCCCCCCCCCCCCCCCCCCCCCGAGACAGTTTTCGACGGCGAAAACGGATTGTACGTACGTAACTCTTGTTCGAGTGCCGGCCTGGTGTTGCAATTTTGACCACGCATGTCTTTCAGGCGCGAGGGAGTGTTATCATGCCGCTTGCCCAGTACCCCACTGCTGTGACGAGATTTCGTCGATGTTGGCATCCGGTTCTTTCGTGTGTTCCGCCGGTCTTTCGTTCCGTCCGTCGGTGGAATGGGATGGGATGGGATGGGATGGGATGGATGGGATACCGTCGTTGTGCGGACCGCGAAAACGGCCCGTCGGTTTCCAGCCGATTCTCCGAACGAAGCATTTACAGCGAAACGGAAGTCGAGCAGTAGCGTGGTGCGCAACCCACCCGTGCGTCCTTGTTGTACCAGCTGGAAGATCATTCGAACCAATTATTTCCCCATCTCTCCTGCATTCCACTATCGCGTGTGGGTTGCCCGTTTTTTATCACGCGTCGATCGGGGGACCGAAAGACTCACGGGTCTTTCTTCTACCGCTGTTTTGGCCGCTATTCTCGTGTGATTAATCGAGCTCAGCACTCTGTGCGCACAAATCGAGAGAGTAGTCGAGCCACCAGGTTCAGCCATGCCACCGCAAGCAGCTCACTTGCACGGCAGAGTCCCACGCTGCCGGGCTACTCCGACCATCCCCTCATCGCTGACACGACACGCTTAAGCTGGAAGCCCTCCGCACGATGCTTTGTCCCCGCAGGTGTCCATGGCTCTGGATGCCGCTCGAGGGCTGCAGGCCCTCCACGAGGCCCCAGGGGGAGCCATCGTCCACTTCGACATGAAGCCGCAACAGCTCATGGTGGACGATCAAGGGAGGCTCAAGATCAACGACCTCAACATGTGCAGCTTCACCGACGCTGACGCGGACGGGAACACGTGTCCCTACGAAAGCACTGCGTCGAGAGTAGGTCAGTGCTACAGCAGTACAGCACTCCCTTGAGTCCAGAAATTTCCAGGATATTTCGAGCGTTTAGGGGTGCTTGTGTTGGCCGGGAGAGTAGCGCGGGGGGGGGGGGGGGGGGGGGGGGG